CATACATACATGCACACATACATATCCACACAAAAGTTACCTATATTGGCATGGCCGTTACAACTATTCGTAGTGTTATTGTCACCAGTGTATTATCATTCTTATCATCGTCGTTGTCGTTTGTGTTCTTTTTATATACAAGCGCGCACACACAATGGTGCATGGACAAGCGCATGTGTGTATGTATCATCAGTATACAAATACTATAAGCTACCTTGAACGACCCCCGCAGCCTCAAATCCTTACAACCTCTTGAGCATTCTACCCAGGCTAAAAAAGACCCTGAACCCTAAACCGTATAAACCCTAAGCCCTAAGCCCCAAACCTTATAAAACCTAAACCCTAAGGCCCAAACAGTATAAACCCTAAACCCTAAGCCCCAAAGCTTACAAACCCTAAACCCTCAAAGCCGGCCAAGGACTCGTCTTGCCGACAGTGCCGGCCTTTATCTCGGCGGCTTCTTTCTTCTCACCACTGCTCTTCTGCACTTTCTTGCCCTTAGGGGTTTGGGGTTCAGGGCTTGGTACAGGGGCCTTATTTAATTAGAACAGAGTTTTGGGCTCGTTGATGGTATATTTATAATAAGGAGCCCCCATTGGTAATTATTCAGGCCCCCCCTGTTAGGGCCTTCTGCCCTTTCTTGCCATTAGCCTGGATTCAACAACACCCCAGGTGGGGGCGTGTGAAATCCAACCAGCAGCTTTCTAGTCCATTGAGCCCGAAGGCCTAAATCGCAAAGGGAACTGGCGCCTTCTTCCCCTTCTTGGATTTCACCTTCTTCTCCTTCTTCTTTTTCTCCCGCTTGGAGGAAGACGATGAGCTGGAACCTTCGCTCGACTGCTTGGCCTCCTGCCCTGGGCATTGGCCTGAACTCTTCTGATCCTTGTCCACCTGAAAAGGATGAGGGGGCCGGGGGCGCAGGGGAACTGTTACGAAGGCAAAGCCCTCGCAATCAGAGACTATCGCAAAGCTTGCTTCAAGTAGCCCCGCAATTTAGCCACTCTTCCGTAAGCTCGGCTTGGAAGGAGGCAAGTGAGATTCGTGCCTCGTGCTGAAGCAGCCTCTTGCCGATGAAGGTGTTGAACATCTGCTTCCTCAATCTCATGTGACAGGTGCATCTGCTCGCTACCGCCGCCGAGGTCTTCGGCCATGGAGCTCGAGGCTTCAGCCACTATCGAGGTCTAAACAACGCTACTGCCCATGGTCCCGGGAATGTGAGGCCCAGGCATGGTTCCAGCAGGATCAGCCACATGGATTCCTTTGGCCCAGGCCGCCGCTTTCGCAGACCTGGGCTTGAGCTTCGCCAGCCTCACTGAAGGGCCCCAGGTAGCCTCCTCTCCATCATATAGGAGAGTTCATGGCAAAAACAGGGTGTTGAAGCATATTCCAGTAAATCTTCAAATTATTCTAAGGAGCGCTAAGGAACAACATCGGTAAGAATTCGTGTCACGAATTACCTCAGACCCTCATCCCACCTGAATACCTCTCGGCATCACCCGGCCGGCATTCTGCGAGCTCAGCGGGCTCCAGTTGAAATTCACAGCACGATAACTCTTTCCGGAATCTCGGAAGACTTAGATTTTCGTGTAGACAGCCCGGACACCTTTCGGCATTCTGCTCCAGCGTGGCCCCGAATTGGGGCAGTCGCTCAGAAAACGCATGCTCGAAGGCCATGGCCGTTCGTGTTGTCTGCCAGGTCTAATGCAGGTTACTCAGCTTCGGGGGGGTGAGGCTTGAAAGGATCACTTCTCCTACATAGCATGATGCATGTTGTCGCAAACCCACGTTGCTGTATAGTCCGGCTATTCTCATACACCGCTCCCTGCCGTTTGTCATAATCTGGAGTCTGGAGCTTCCATGGAGGGCACGGTGTGGGCCTTATGAGAGCACCCAGGCGAGTTCGTGGTGTTTCAGACTGTGGCTTTGAGGGGCAACTTCGCAAAAAGAGAAATCAACCGCTTGACTGTGGAGTTGATCCATCAGAAGGGCCCAGCCGTTCGCAGAGCATGACAGCAAGCCGGTGACACTCCCCAAACCCCACGTAAGCCCTGGCTGACTCATGCAGATGCTGGGGCTGAGTCCTCGTCTTTTATGCAAAACCGGGACTGTTTGTGCAACTTCACATGATATGATTAGGGTGCATTGCTAGGATCCACATCATGGAACCCAAAATAGACAAGAATCGGTTTCAAAAGGAGCCCCATGGCCCCATATACACTCACCAAAACCCGGAAAGAAACCGTACTTGGCAGAGCGTCTGTGGGCCTACGACCTGAAGCCTAAACAAATACAAAACTGGCAGGAGCTTCGTTTCCAAACACCACGGCAACTTCCCACACAGACAGTACTCACCACGCGAGAAGATAGGCAGGCGCAGAGACAGCGAAAGAGAGACAGAGAGGGAGAGAGAGAACAACAAGAAAGACAACGATGGCTACGAGAGGGAGGAGAGAGCGAAGGACAAAGAGAGAGAGAGAGAGAGAGAGAGAAAGTGGTAGAAACAGGCTGAATAAAAATGGCAGTAGGGCCAGGCATATTCTGTCATGGGCCGCTGGTGCAGAGAATGCCAAATCGATGCATGCCTCCTGCTTGTCAACACAGTGTTGCCGTGGCACCTGGCAGATCGTGGCATGCCGACAGGCCAGTGCATGAAGCTTTCCGTAGCACTCAGCCAAGAAACAGGTTTCAGTCTTTAGCCTTGAGCAGTGAGAGGTTGATTCCTAATTCACCTGCGGCTGCTGGCTAAGTTGGAGAGTTCAAAGCAGCCTTTTCCTGGTCCTGGCCTAGGAAGCTTTCATCCAACCTTTCCAGCACGCACCGTTGCATGAAACCATCTCTGAAGATTTACGGAGCCTTCAGAGCTGCACCATACCTCAGAGTGTGTAATGAAGAGTGGTTCCGCAAGAATCCCCTGGCCTTAGATCTCTAAATCTAGCCCCTGAAACCTTCAACTTGCCCAGGCACTCTTTCGAGAGTAATGTTTTCACACTCTTATATTCCGCATCAATCTTAGCAATGACAGTTATGCTGCGGCAATCTCAATCTCGCACTAGGTTTGCAAGTTGAGCTACATCATGGCGACTACTGTCCCGATACGTGATTCCACGGTAGTCCCACAAAGCCAACTGATCCCATCACTTGCCATCTTCTATATCTTTCTTTCGAAGAGCCTTTCCTGCCTACTGCCGTGATTGTGGCCACTTGCTCTGGCGCACGGATCGGTAGCGGTTGCAAGTAGTAGCAGTAGGCGTCGTCGTGGTAATGGTAGTCGTAGTCGTCTTGGTAGTGGTAGTCGTCATGGCAGTGGCAGTGCTAGTGGTATGTAGTGCTAGGGGTAGCGCTAGTGGTAGCGGTAGTCGTAGTGGTAGTGGTGGCCGTCGTCGTCGTTGTAGTTGAAGCAGTTGTAGTTTGATTGGTAGTAATGGTAATCAAACTTTAGTAGCAGTCGCCACCAGTCGTCGTAATCAGTGGCCGTGGCCGTCGCAGTAGCAGTAGCAGTAGTAGTAGTAGTAGTAGTAGTAGCAGTAGTAGCAGCAGTAGCAGTACTAGTAGTAGTAATAGTAATAGTAGTAGTAGAAAGACGCCGGTTTTGCCAGGAGGATCATTCACCTAACCCTCAATGCAAAAACTCCAGCTAGTACCTCTGGGCTCCTAAACCCGGAAGCAACCGTGTGCCTCATGGATCGCTCGGTCACGGCCAGCAGATGCTCGCAGGGAACCGGACCAAGCACTGTGGTGCCTGGGATGCTGCCAGAGATCTTGGGATGTGCAGCTTAATATAGGGGCCTTGATAATTAAAATAGTTTTGGGGGGCCCATTATACTATAATTACAATAAGGAACCCCCAAAACCCTATTCCAATTATTTAGGCCCCTACATTAAGGCCGTTTCTGGCTCTCGGGATCCTTCTGGCCTGGGGAATTGGAGGCATAAGTCTAGTGCAGAAGCAAACTGGTCTGCAGGATTTGGAGCTCTATCTGAGTCACGTAGACATTCTGGAACTGCTGTTCGATGTGCGATTCTGGATCTGCCGTTCCGTCCATCTGAGGCTGTGGTTGAAGACTACCGGTGCATCTTGGCTGGCATTTGGTCCCCCCGAGTTTTCGTAGGCTTGGGCTCGGCGGTTCATGGGCATAGAGCTGTTGGATCTGTGGACGAAAGGTGTCGGGCCTTAGTCCGTGGAGGTTTGCATTTAGATTTGAACAGCAAGGGTCAGGAGTTCGAGTTGGATGGCTCCATTTCCCTGATAAATCGGCGCTCGTAGACGGAAGTCACGTGTCAGGTCAAACCCTGTCAGTTAGAAGAGTCGTGCGCCATGCGTACGTGAGCTCTACAGTAGCCGAACAAAAGCTGAAACACCTCTGCCCCAAGCAAATCACCTTCCTAAATATGACCAAAGCGCCAGAAGGGCAGCTGCCGTCCCCTTGCCCCAGGTCGCGAGCGACGCTCTGCGGGCGTCAAGGCCTGCCCAGCAGCTGCTCGCTCGCTCGCTCCCTCGTTCAGCGTGCCCGGCAATGTTCCAAATTACTGTGCAAGCAACGCATAACGTAGGGAGTTGAACATGCAGCATTAAATCATTATGAACAACATCTAGCACGGTCATGGATTTTGCCATGCATGCATACAAACATTACATGTGCACGTTTGTCCATCTATCCATCCATGCATGCATGCATGCATGCATGCATGCATGCATGCATGCATGCATAGCCTTGGTGTTGCCGGTTCCTGTTGCTAACAGCTTCTCAAAGGATATCTGCTCTTTGCGTGCTAACTGTGCCGCTAGATAGCTTCGGAAACTCGTGAGGCTTTGTACGCGTATGTCTGCCGGTGAAAATAAACAAGAAGGCTAACAGCCTTGTATGCATTACATATTTGTCTATGTATATAGAGACATCTATGTTTTTGAGTATATATGCATGTATGTATGTATGTATGTATGTATGTATGTATGTATGTATGTATGCATGTATGTATGTATATATATATACACATATATCATTTCTTGATATGTAAATATTATATATATATATATGTATGTGTATGTGTATGTGTATGTGTATGTGTATGTGTGTATGTGTGTATGTATATGTAT